AATATATAAGAAAATGCTAGTCCTTTTTTGTTTCATAAAAGAAAGAAAGTCTTACAAATTGGAATTATATGGCACAAGTAAACAATGGGAACTAATATTCAGGGAACTAACCCTTAAAGTTAATTTAAAGGTTGAAGGTAAAAGTTTTCCATCTCTGTCTTTTTCTCAGGCCAGGCAGTTGATAGAGGAGGGCAGTGTCATCAAGGTCATTATAGACACTGTAATGGATATGATGGGGGCACATCTGGACAGCAACAACCGCTTCCAATTCCAGGGCCACAACCCTGACAAGTTCTTCCGGGTTCAAGTTATCTTCCATGACCTCAGGTCTACACACAACCCTTGAATTATGGAAAATAAAATCATCTCATTAATTGGTTCAATGTTGATTGGTTCCATTGTGATGTTATCAGGTACATTCTAATCAGTAAGCCCTCTGTGTGGACTGAGACGTTGAGGGTGAAGTTCCTCGAAGGTTTACGTGTCTTTCTTCGCTTCTTATGTTGTATGCAGGTAATGCTTTCTCTTGGCAAAAGGATCTTAATTTGGTTTGATCTGTAGTCTTATTGAATCTCGTTCTTTGGTGGCAGGGGATGGAGGAGGTGAAGAGGCAGCTTGGTCAGCATGTTGAGGTGGAGCCCGAGTGGGAGGCGGGATTTACCCTCCAGATGCAGCTGCGCCACATTCTCGCCATGTTTCAGGACTGGTGTTCTTCTGACGTGAGTCACAGCTAGTCAGGCATCTTGCTTTTCTATATTGCTTTTTTGGGGTAAAATACATAAGAAATTGGTGATTATGGAAAATTAATAAAACATGATATAATATGAATATATAAAATCAATATACTTCTGTTGAAAAGATTGTTTTTTTATTGTTATTTTATTTTATTTTGAATTCTATGCTTATCAAGGCTGCTTACCAAAAATGTAAAATAGCTTCTTGGTTTTTTTTTAATAATCTGAATATATTTTAAAATGTAACTTTTCCTGTGATGTCAAAGCTGAATTTTCAGCGTCATTACTTTATTCTTCAGTTTCACGTGTTCCTTCAGAAATCATTCTAATATACTGATTCGGTGCTCAAGAAACATTTTTTTTTATTTTTTTTTTATCACAGTTAAAAATGTTTGTTGTGCTTAATATATT